AAAACATCATCCAGCCTTCCATCCAACTTTTCTATTTACAATGACATAAATAAAAGAGTTTTGTGTGTGGGAAGACATTATGTCAAATTCTGAAAAGCTTTCAGGAAACATTACAAACCACTTACCTTTATCTATACCATTAAATATTCATGCAGCACATTTTAAAGTCCAGTGCAGCCAAAATGATGTTACGAACACTTGATTGCTTGAAAAACTCAGATGCAAAGTTTTATAAGATTTATGTGTGATCAAGATGGTTTACGTATCCAAAAGAACATCTCAGTTTGTTTTCATTCAGATGCATCGGACGCATGCAAAAAACTAAGTTAGTTGTTTTTTTTTTACCACTCTTTGTTTACCCTTTCATGCTTGCAGAGGGCTCTTGGCCTTTTTTTCTCTCGCCGTAGCTGGCAAAGATTGGAATGATTTCAGTATAGAAGGTGTCCAGGTCTTTTAGCCACATCCTGTAATTCTGACAGAGCAAGTCTGAAAGCTTCCTTCCTGTCTGGGAAATGACACGCTAATGGCCCTCTCTCTCCTCCTCTCCAGTCCTGTATCACAGCTGTCTAATGAGAGCATCAGTCTATAAGTGGAAGCTAATGATGGATGCTTTCATTTTTATCAGCTGCAAGCAACTGGCACGAGAATTCCTGCGGAAATGATCTTTTTGTTGCGCACCGAAATTATAAATCAGTCCTTGTCTGCAACTTCCAAATATAGGAAAGATTTCTGTTCTGTTCGTGATTTATTTCTCCCTCTTCATTTGAACATAAAATATATAACTAAAAACCTGCTTGGTCTCAATGTTGATGTGTGATACAGATATTCAGAGATGACTGTTTTGGTCATGTTTACACATGTGGTGTTACTTTGAATAAGGAATATCCTACAGTGTCATTTTTTGAGAAGGGGTTTTTAGTTTATATCCTTATCACAGCTCATACCAATAGTGAATGTAATTTACTTTTCTTGCTCCGTTCATTTCCTAAAATGTTACAAATATTCACTGCAAAAATTGAAACTGTTAATGTTACTTTAAAAAAGAACTCTTTTTCGGGATCAGCAGACTGCCAGACTACATTCAGTCAGATCAATACAAAAAAGGTTCATTGCCTTCATCACCTGTATGAAGAGTCAAATTTATAAAGATAATAATCAACTCTCTTGTTTTACTCTTTTCAAAAGAGCTCTCTTTCAAATGTTTGCTTTTGGACTTGGAAATTCTTCAACACTATCATTTCTCAGTGGGAACACTCATGAGTGTGGTACCTTGGCTGGCCATAAAACGTATTGTGCTTCTCTGCTACATTTCACACGGATGTGTTGCAGTGATACAAGTTTGAAACACAGCCACAGTCTGGTTTAACAAGTACTGAGATCTAACTAAAATATTGTTGCTCATGATTGCGATATTCCACCAAAAATGTACTTTTCTAAAGTCATACAGATATGCATTGTAATTGCATCAATATTTGCTATTAATCAGACTTTTTTCCTTTTTGCAGTAAAGCTTGCATTTTAATGGTTTTCATGGAGGTGAAAATACAATTTGCTACTTGATTGATTGCTTAACTTTAATTAGTCACTTCCACGTCTGACCTAAGAGGTGTCACATTGATAAATGGAGTCTTTTGATAACAATGTGATGCACTAAGTTTCTCTATCTTTAGGTAATCCAACAGCAAGCGATGACAAATGATTATTACAGACAGAGACATTTCCAACTAAGATTCAGAATTTGTAATGATCACACAGGTCCTGCAGTGCACTCTGCATAGCAAAAAATGGTCAAAATATAGCTAGGATTATTTCTGAAATAAACCCAGATACATATATGATATATAATAGAATATGCTTAACTTTCTTTTTCCTAAGAACTCTGACATGAGATAAGATAGATGTACTTGCATCCTGTGTAACTTCTATGATCTGGTTTTACTGTTGCTGCTTATAAACAAAGAGGACACTGTCTTAGTTAATCCTGTCACACTAAAAAAATATTCTAACCAAAAACAGAAGCCAGAAGCAGCTGACCATGAACCGTGTCTACATGGTATACCTCGTTGAGCACAATTTGGTCCTGTGTGGTTCTCATAAAGACGCATTTCCTGTTATATATCATTTGTTCATGAGAAACTGAGCTATAATAGACATCAGATAAAAATAGGAAACAGAGCACACAAGTGAGTAAAGAAGTGACAAATCACACACAGACATACGCACACAAACATGTGTCATCACTTAAGGGGTCATTTGGCTGATTTTTCATCATATCTGGACTTTTTCGAAACCTAACCGTTCTTGCTACTTACTAGATCCTGGTTTGTTGACTGAGCTTTAAGGTACCTTAACTCCCCTTAAAAGTATACCTTCCTACCTATAGAGAATCAAATCCTTGCAATGTGTTAGAGTTAATGGATCTATTCCTGCATGTCTACAAACACAGTCTTGCGTGTGTTTTTCTCTTTATGTGGACATTCAATGACATTATGTATTTTCTGGCTGGTGCCCTGGCCAAAACTTACCATAACCTCTGTGTTAAATCATAATTAAACCCTAGACATGTCTTTAAAGTGCAGTAACGACTATCTTAGATGCCCTAAACTTTAATTTAGTCCCCACAAAAATAGCCAAACAACTACATAGATAACACAGATGAAGGAGAGCGGGTGTTAAAGTCTGTCCGAACAAACAGCCAATGAGACAAGAGATATTTATTTGTTCAGCCAATCAGTGTCGAGACCCATTTGAAACTAAATGAAGGATGTGTTGAGAAGACATTCACTATACACTTCTCCCACCTAGTGGTTACTTTAAATATAACCAGAACGTCACCTCAAGCTTTATGAATTAAATTAAATTATATAAAATCAAAGTGAAATTAGGGTTACCATTTACTTTTCAACAAACTAAATGCTTTCAGTCAGTCCTACAATAGTCCTGAAAAATGATGATTGGTTAAAAGAGGTATTATTTAAAGGGCTGCTTTGTTTTGTACTGTGTAGGGCTGGTGGCAGCCTGGTTCCCGGAGCCCTCTCTTCCTTTTTTCAGTCCCTGTGGGGGGTGCTGTTCATCTGCACCCATCACTGAGCACAATTCATGTAACCTCTATATTGAACCCAAAAAGGTATAGTTTTGAAGAATAGCCACCAATCCAAAAATAAAGATATTGGTACAGTATATTGCACTGAGATTAATTGATTTTGCTCGCCCCATTTTGGTACTTTGTTTTTGACTGATAGCTGTACTGAAGCTATTTTGGAATTTTAAGAAGATGGCAAGGGAGCCAGTATCCTGGTGGTTTTGAATCACTATTCCAAATAGTATTTAGCTGTCCATTTGCACCTTTTCTTCTCTGAGTTTTTATCTTGTTGAATATTCACCTTTTTGATTGGAGGATAAGCTGATGACATTGAAGAATTTTGACTCTTTTTAAAAGGTTTTTATTAGCCTGTGACTTTATTTTAATTCAAATATCTCGAACGGTTTTTGTTAGAGGAATTCTTGAAAGAGCTGACAATTGTTCACAAATCCTAAACAAGAGTTGTATACATCCTGTCAAACAAATCTGAGACTTCCCTTCTACTATGAATGTTTTAGAAAGGTTGAGAAACACTGTGTGCCGCCTCAGGCACACTATGTATATGTTAGACTTAGGATGCCTCCTGATAACATTTAAAATCATCCACTTGCTGTACATTTGTTGAGACTGCAGAGCTTCAGTTTTCACAAACATTTCATTTTAGCTGACCTTTCTGTGTGGAGTTTGCATGTTCTCCCTGTGTCTGCGTGGGTTCTCTCCGGGTTCTCTGGCTTCCTACCACTGTCCAAAAACCTGCATGTTAGGTTGATTGGACATTCTAAATTGCCCTTAGGAGTGAGTGTTATTGTGCGTGGTTGTTTGTCCTTGTGTGTCTCTGTTTGGCCCTGCTGTGGACTGGGCGGACTGTCCAGGGTGTACCCCCATTGACCACTGGGATAGGCTCCAGTCCCCCCGTGACCCCAATTAGGGAATAAGCGGTTATGATAATGGCTGGATGGATGTACTTATAAATAGTACATATTCTTTGCTGATGCAAGGTGTTCAGTGTTCAGAATGTCTTTATTAAGAACGTCTTATGTTTCAATAAAACAACAAGGCAGCCCAATGTGTGCTGTTGCAATCTGTTTGTGCAAAGCCTTAAGTGAATGCAGAACAGCCCAAATTAGCAACAGGATTCTCGTCCATACTATGTGGGACCTTAAGGCAGTGAAATTAAGTAGGAAAACAACAACAGCCTCCTGCTGCACACCGCAAACTCCCATTACTGCTCATTACAACAACAAAAGAAACCACCTCTTATCAAAGCCGGCCATTAGAGGGGCGGGCCTGCTCTGCACACACAGGGGACAGGTTTGGACTTGACCCGGGTGGGCTGGGGACTCCTCCTTCTCTTTGCAGCCCGCAGCCGTCGGACAGAAGCCAGGCAGGAGTCACGTGACGCGCGGTGGGGCGTAGTTTTTCTTGTGGTGGCTTTTATCCTCCACGCCCACCTGTCTGCGCTATAACTGCAGCCTGCGCACAGCAGCAGTGGCACAGCCGCACCCCCCTCCACCCCCCCACCCACCCACACCTTCAACCCTCCAACCCTCACCGGGCAGTGGCATGGAGAGGCTCAACTCAAACGCTTTAGTGAAAATGGAAGCCAACATTGTCGTGATGGGGACGGAAAGCGTCGGGAAATCAGGTAAGAGTCGTTTCAGGAGTGCCAAAAGTTTCCCAGCGCGCGCGCGGATGGATGACAGTGCGTGTTTCTTTCAGCTCTGACGGTGCGCCTCCTGACTGGGAAATTCATCGGGGAATACGGGGACATCGGTGAGTGTGCGCCTGCTTTTTGTCATAAGTCAGCCTGAGTCAGACTCAGTGAATTTAACAGTGGACGTTGTTCTCTTGTCTTGCAGAGTCCATTTACAGTCGGGATTTTACATTAGACGGGAGAGGAGTCACTCTCAATATTTGGGATTCACCTTACTCTGAGGTATTAGGATCCACTTTATTTCCAACAATAGTAGCGTTGCTTATGTTATTCTTATTCAGCCCATATGCTCGGATACTGTAAGTATTAGTGTAAAAAGGCCTCTGCTAGTTCATGTTAGAGAAAGCTTGATGCTTATTTATTTATTTTGCATTTGTGTGTGGCCAGGTCCTGTGAAGAATCTACAAAAAAAAAAAGTGATGGCTTGTCATAAGGCTTCATAAACTTACACGTGCCTCCTTTCACAGGACTTGGCGGCCGAAATGTCCCTCTTCTGTAAGAAGGTCCGGTGGGCAGATGGTTACGTCCTGGTCTACAGCATCTGCGACCGGGCCAGCTTCAACGCCGTCAGCAGGCTCGTTCAGAGGATCAAGTCCTCCAAAGATCACCTGGGGACGGACAAAGTGCCCATTGTCGTCGTGGGGAACAAAAAGGACCTCCACCACAGACGGACAGTCCAGAGCGAGGAGGGCCGGCTGCTGGCCCTGAGCACGGACTGCCTCTTCTACGAGGTGTCGGCAGCGGAGAACTACCACAGCGTGATCGCTCTGTTTCACGGCCTGGTGGACAGAATCAAGGACGTCAGGCCGGTGATGAAAAGGCCTCTGAGGTTCAAGGGCATAGTCAAAAGCATGTCTGCGGTGTTTACCAGGAGACGGACAGACTCACTGTAGTGAGAGAATGGCGAGCAGGGAAGGAGACGTCCTGCAAGGAATGGACAGGAGAGTCTTTCACTACAGAGATGGACCTGTTTGAGGGGCATAAGGACTCCAAGTGAAAGAACCTTCGAAACAATCGGACAAAGGAATCAGGTGTTCTCTTCACCTCGAAGTTGACTTGGCTGATGAAAACAAGTGGATGATAATCTGATTTCCTAAACAGACACTTTACATGGAATATTCTTCAGTTTTTAAAGCTCGGTCGGCTTTAAGCTTGTTTCGGATGTTTTACAAGACATGGCTTCAGATAGGAGGAAATTCTATGCACACAATGAAGGTGTCTGTATTGCATTAGTAAGACATATTGTATTAAGACCGAAAAGATATATGTTTTTAAACCATTGTAAGATTCAAAACGTGCACAAAACGGACTGGTTTCGAGTGTCATTACATTTTTTAATAATATATATTTCGGTTCTCATGTGAGTCTCAGGGCAAAGTACATAATGATACATCATGCAAAGAGGGACAATTCCAGGTGGGGAAAAATTCATATTTAGCAGAGTTAAAATGGAGCTCATTAAATACAAGTGACCTGAAACATCAGACTTAAATCACTGACAAGTTAAAACAGTGAAACAAATGTGCATTAACTGAGTTAAAATAGGTCCCAGCTTTCTCGAGGCCCGTTTTATCTCTTGAATTGAATGTATGCCACGAAGAGGGCAAATTGTTTGCGTAAGGTTTTATAACTTGCAAGGTTTTTTAAATAAAATGATTGCTGAAAATGAAGAATTCTCTTGTATTGTGACTATTGAAGTATCCCCTTTGTGCTTTTTTTTCTGTATGTGTATGAAAGACATGATGACATCAAGCCTGGTGAAGATACAAATTATTAAGGTCTTCATGCCAGCTTTTATCACATTAGTAATGTTACAGGATGGATATTTTGCATGATCATGCACATCAGTAGATTAAAGTCTTTAACAATTTCAAAGTTAAAAAAATATAACTAAACAAATAGTTAATAGCATGGACTATCTACACAAACCCTGTTGCCCTTAGAATAATTAAAACTCTTCAATAGAGATGCTCAGTCTGCTCATGCTAAAAGCCAGGATAAGATTTTATGCCCATTACTCATTGGTTTTCTTCCTATGTTGCTCTTAGTTTGAGGGAAAAAATCCTCCACGTTTTCTTGTGTCTGCTGGAGTAAACTTGGTCTAACCCCTATGATGAGGCAGAGGAGGTCTCTGTCCTTCCTTTCCTCCCTGCAGCTTCTGTTGGGACGCGTCAGGAAGATGTCTATCTCTCTGAATATTAAGGAAGCAGTACAAAAGGGGGCAAATGGCAGGAAAGCTGGTGCCACTTGTTCTGCTTTCTGTTCTCTCGTTTGAAGAATCTGACAGGAACAAGGCAGGGGTTAACAAAGCAGGACTCTGGCTGTCTGGCTCCTTCAGGTCATTGTCACAGTCTATGACCCCCCAATGCTTTCAGAACCAGACTCATATCAAACAGCAGCCAGACTAATATGTTTTACCTGTAAGAGCTGCTTTCAGCTTCACTGGAGCTGAAATGATGTGTCTCCACATGCTGTCACATTGACATTCAACTGAGGGATCCAGAAGTGAGTCTGAGGCTGTGCTGTTACCGCTGCTCGAGCTGCATGTGGAGTAGTTATCACAAAACCATTTGCATCATTCAGAACTGCAATAGGCTTTTGTTGTTATTAGGTAAACATGTTATATCACATGTTTACCTGACGATTGCGAGCTCTACGGTGCTAAAAATACATTTGAGAAAAGTATTAGAGTCCAAACATCATAAGTCAAACATTTTGGTCATTTAAGAACACAGTATGTGACACATGATGACTTAAAAAAATGAAACTACTTCATCCATCCATCCATCATTGAGAGGATATGTTCAGACTTCCCTTTCTAACTCCCCCATCTTCTCTTGATGGGTGGCTTTTATCACTCTGACAGGTCCTTGTTCTAACTCAAGGCTGTCTCCCAGCAAGACATGCCTACAACCCGTCTCCTCAGCTGACCTCCTCATTCTATTTCTACACATAAACCCGTCCACCTCTCATGATAAGCAAATTTAAGCCATAGATTGATTCTTCTGATCATTATCCACAGGTTGGAAAATGAATTGACTGGCCTTTGGACAGCTTACCTTCTGACAAAGCTTTCTGTTTACCACAACCAACTGCTATAGTGTCTGCATCAAAGCCCATTTTACCTCACTTTTGTTGTTAAGATACTGAAACACTTTCACCTATGGCAGACAGTCACCCCTGACCTGGAGAAGTTAATCCACCCTTTTCTGAATGATGTGTTCACATCTCAGCCAACAAATGAATTAGAATGCGTTTTGGTGTACAAAAGTCACCTCAACCTGCACAAAAACATAATTATTATCAGTTGAATGTTTAAATTTCACATGTGGATATAGATATATACTTTCTATAAATCGCAATTCAACGAAGCAAATTTTTCATGAATAAAATGCTTAAGTAACATTAGCACATTGCAGCAAAATCTCCCTATTCTACAGTGTTTTAGATATAGCGGCTGCATTTCATGATGGTCTGCTGTTTGTACTGGTATTAAAAAAGAGGTTTCAGAATACATTTATAATGAGGCTCACCACAAAATTGGAATCTAAAAGTTGTGAAAGCATTTGTATGTGTACTTATGCAAGTAGCAGAGCACAAAATTAATCAAGAAGGGTTTTTAAGAAAATATTTGCTTCCATTTGCAGTAACCTCTGAAATACCTGTTTGTCCACAAGAACTTGGCTCTACTTCAGTATTTGACGGATGCAGGATGCATGTGCGTTACACAGAACAATTTTTTGTGTTGTATTTGGAATCACAGGAGACGAATGACATCAAATCATATTATTTCCAGTGGACTAGAGAATATCTGAGGACCCTTGGAATTTCTAACAAAAAGTCACGCAATTATTTATGTTTGTTTGTACTTTTGAAATGGATACACCAAGTTCTTGAAGAATTTCATCTAGAACATTGTCTGTGAGGGAAATGGAATCTGACATTACTGAAGGGTGAGGTTATGGTGAAGCACCTGAAGATTTATATTTCCAAAGCTCCATTTTCTTTAATAATAGCAATTCACACAGAGTCTGTTGTGACAGCTGGCTGCCATTTAAGTCCAAGAAGTTTTCCTCATTACTTGAATAGCTCTCTAACCTATGTGTGCAGCTCAGTTCTGAACTATTAAAAAGCAACAACACATCAGTTAAAAAGAATGATGTCCATTATGTGAAAGTCAGTTTCTTATTCTGAGCAGGTGATGAAAATAAGGCTTTGTGTGTCTGTAGTGTAAACCCTTGTTGTCTAGTGTCTGAGTGAAAATATAAAGTCTGGAGGCCTTCAAAGGAGAACTTTTTTCCTCACTAGGGTTCCTCATCAGGTTTACAGTCTCCACATTATCATGCTGGTTTGTGGCACCGACCACGAGTTAGTGTTGTTTTCAGCTAAGTCTGAACCTCACAGCGGTACGTCATTTAAGGGTTGTGAGTTATTTCTCACTTCAGGAAGCTTGTTATTCCTCTTTCCCTTTTCAGGTTTTGATGATGACTGCTGGAGACCCAGCTACGGTAGAGTAACAGGGTCAAAGTTTGAAGGTGTGCTTTTTATGAAGCATCCTGCTGAAAAGCATCTCCTGTCATTAGACTTCAGACGTATGTTGGTTTGCAACACCGTTTCAGCTGCCTGTATCCCAGAGGTTTGGCAGGTAATGATATCAGCATGTCAGACCACTGCAGCATGTTGAAAATGTTGAGAGGCTGTCATAGCTCTTCCTGAAATGGGTTGTCAAACAGTAACTAAATCCCTGAACCCTGACTGAACACATTAAATCAGTCATACAACCACCTCTGAGGAACTGAGCTGAGTGTGTGTGAGAGGTGTTCAGAGCACTGCTGAGTCAAATTGAACATAGAGGTTAGCAGCAGGGATCCTAAATTGAGGTTTTTTGAGCAAAGACTAAATCCATACAGGAGAGATTCAGGAGAGCTCAGACGACACGATCGCTTTGCTGTTTTTAAATAGGAAAAGAGAAAAGGATGCTTTAAAAAAAAAAAGCCTTTGTGTTGTTCTTGATTTCACCTTTCAGAGTAGCACCCAGTGCCCCCTCCCCAGTGGCTGGCAGCACGTTTTCAACAGGCATTGCTGATCAATGTGTAATTTCATTTTCTAGTAGCTTATCAAATGTAAGCAAGCCTTATTTCATTATCGGCTCGCACGGGGGCTTGAGGAGGTCAGCTAGTGCTGAGAGCAGGTAAACAAAGAAATAAAAGGATGCCAAAAGTCTTACATTAAGCCCTTCAAAACGCCAAATCGATTAAACAATAGTGTGTTTGGACTAGAAAAATAAAGAATATTTGATAAAAAATTAGATACAGAGAATTCTTTTTTGTATTTCTCATGCGTATTAATAAACTTTTGATTGGCTGTTATTTGTTGGATGGTTATCTGTCATTCTATTTGAATGAGTAAAGAATCAACGCACTTGACATCCGTATGAAGCAGCAGATTACAATCAACTGAATAGCCCTCAGAACAAACAGTGGTGTCAAAAACTATAGCAAGCGACTGATTTGTCAATTCTTGGAAACTATATTAAAAAAATTAGAGCATTAAAAAAAGCTGAACAGCTCCAATCTGTGTAAATTTTCATCAGAAAAGCATAAGAACCTGTGGGTTTTCAATGGAATGAGTTATGCAAATTAAACTTTTACCAAAGATTTTTGTTTCAAGTCATGTGTGAGAAAGAACTAACAACATTGGAATTCTGTAGGCAGCATCAGCCAGCCTGCATCTCTTTTGATGTCAGCTGAGTCAAGCTCTTACCTGGACTCTAACCATGTGGCATAAGCGGGGTTTGCCAAGCAGATCGTGACTTTGAATTAGTTAATAAAGCATTTAAACAGGGGGTCTGGAATGTGAAAGAAACCAAAGTGCTCAATGAGTTTTTAAAAGATGTGTTAACTTCCCAAAAATGTCAGCCATCCCTCGTCATCTCGCACCCTCTCGCCTTTGCTAATCTCTCCCACAGAGACTTATCAGACCTCCCGCAGTGCTGTGCTGCTCGCTGGGTTTCCCAACAAGATCTTAATGTGTACAAACAGTAACCATAACTCACCCCCTGCTGTGAATACAGCGAAAGTTTAAAGTTCAGGAGCACTTGTGCTTTTCCATGTCAACAGTTAATGGCTGATCTCACTGTGGCCACAGGGTCCAGCCTTTTGAGCTCATTTCCGGCAGCAAGGAAAAGCTAAATTCTGACAAGACGCAAGGAGCTTTTTGACTTATTATTGACACTTATTTGAATAACCACAGAGCTACAGCTGCACAGCGGGTTCAGGATTGTTACTAATGTACCACATATTTTTCTACATGTTTTCGTCCGTCTGTGTGTTTGTGGGTAGAACCCGGTGGGTGATGTGGCTGGTGTTGTCCTGATAACTCAGCTCACACCTGTGTTTCCTGCTTAAAAGCCCCAGACTTCCCTCCTCTGCATCCCCAATTGCTATCAGCGCTACAATTAATGCTGCAAGCTGGTTTCTCTACAGGAAAGTTTCCCATATTTACATGCTAGTTAGGCCTGGATGCAACAACAAGCATCTCTTTTTTCCCAGAGATCTGAGGCATCTGGCCTCTGCTTCTTGTTTGTACCACCAGTTTGCAAAACTGACATTTGGACAGATTTCCTTCCATTGATCAAAGCCTCCATATAATTTCCTAATTG